CACGGTCATATGAAGTGAAAAAGTTGCAACATATAATGTACGTGTGCATCATATTACATAATATGGTTCTAGAAAATGAAGGAAGAGCGATATGCCGCTACAACGAAAATGAAGCTTTGCCAAATGTCGAAAGAGTAGTCATTGGTACGCAATGGTACGCAAGAGTATAGGGTAAATAGAAGAGAAGTACATGATCACGACATTCACTACTCCCTTCGTGCGGATTTGGCGGAGCACGTTTATGGGGCTCACATACAGCCTCAAGCAGAGTATTGACACGATGATTTGTTTGACAAATCAGATGAAGATTTGGATATTTTCATCAGGGATTCGTGTGAGGATTCAAATGACGATGACGAGGCCGAGGACGACGATTCCGAGTGACATATTTTTTTTTCAAATTCGGATATTATGTAATTGCTAATTATGTTTTCTAGGTCGTTTTTTAAAAATCTAGGTTGTGTTTTTTTAATCTTGGTAGTTTTTTTTTTTTTTTTTTTTTAATTTTGATTGATTTTTTATATATCTGTTTTTTAAATGATGAAGTATTTTTATTTTAATTAATTTTGTGTTTATTTATCATCATTAATGAATTATATTTATTTTTTGAATTATAAATCTAAAAATTCAATTATTTTTATTTAAAAAAAATGAAATGTAATGAAAGGTGACAATTTCCTGTCTTTTGGTGAGTGAAATGTAAGTGAGTGGAAAGCGGATGTGGCACTCAAAAAGTGAAAGGTAAAAGATGGGTATACCCTCAGGTCTTATAATGATCATAGACATATTTGAGAAACAAGATTATTCATCTATATAACTGAAAATGCAGGATGGGGCTGCAGTTATCGGCCTTGTGATAGCAACAACATCATTAGTTGTTGTGAATCTGATCCATATAAATAAACGGGTTGACGAGGTCATTCTTAGGCTTTAAAGAGTGCATTTGTGGCCTTTTTGTGTGTATTTCAAGAAGAAGAGGTGGTCAAGCAAGCTTGGATCAAGAGGGTGCTTCAAGATCCTGCACCAAAAGCATCTTGCAAAGCTTCTGGAGGTAAAAAGCTTGCATCTTTCCTTTCTAATCTTTAGATCTAGCTAGGGTTTTGGTGGTTTGTCCCTTTTATGAACTTTGGACCTCTTTTGTTGAGTTAAGCCTTCCCTTTTGATATGAAAGTCAGATCTGAGGTCCCCTGGTCATTTAGAAGTATAAAAATGGAAGCTTGATGAGAGTTGTGACCTCATGCTTGGGTAAAAGACCTTGAAAAGGTCTTAATGGGGTGGTTGGGAGTGTATGAGACATTCAAGGGCATAAAGTTGCCAACTTTATGCCTTGGGACATCTTTTCAATCTTAGATCTAGCTTTTGGACGTGAGAGATTCGAGCATTAAGCACTTAATGGGAAAAGTGCTTAATACGATTGTACGCTGGGCGTAACTGTCTGTACGCAGCGCGTAGTCACTAGACCCTCAGTATGCTGCGCGTACCAGGGAGGTACGCTGGGCGTACGCAGCTCAGATGGGCCCTAATCTGTTTTGGGCCTTTGGGCCTCATTTGGCTGATGAGCTTGTTTGGACTCTGTAAGATTGAGGCATTTTCATTTGTTTGGGCCAAGGACTTATTGGTTGGGCCTTATTGGGCCAAGGGGCCCATTAAGGATATTGGACTTGGATTTTGGGGTCCAATTTGCAAGAAATGGGTAATTGGGCCTTGGGGGTAGAGTTTGAAGGTTGGGCCTTTCCTTGGGTAATTTAAGGTCTTATCATTGATTATATATTATTGTTATTATTCAGCTTGGTAGGTTGCGGATTATTGGGAGGGCAGTAATTGTATTCATTGGACGGAGGTGAGTCTTCTCACCATACCTATGGGTCTACGGCACCAAGGCCGGCCCATTATGTTATCATGTTATGTGTGTGTTATTCATTTATGAATTGATATGTTGTGTGATATTATGTTGGTATGGAAGACCCCGGGGGGAGCCCGTGGCATTGGATATAAGACCATGGGGTAGCCCATGGCAGTCCTAGGTAAAGACCATGTGGGGTAGCCCATGACATTGGATGTAAGACCATGTGGGGTAGCCCATGACGGTCCTAGGTAAAGACCATGTGGGGTAGCCCATGGCACTCTTGTTGAATCGTATTGCATAGTTCTGTGGCATGTTTATAGCTTAATTTTTAGCTATCAGGATATATGTATGCGAATGTGTGTAGTATGTTCTGGGAAACTCACTAAGCATTTCGCTTACAGGTTGTTGATTTGTTTCAGGTACTTCTGAGCCTAAGGGCAAGGGCAAGGCATGATGACGGGGCGTGCACTCTATCTCTCTTTTGATGTGTTTGGGACCCTCTGATGTTTTAAAAAGGAAAACAATGAAGTAATGAATGTTGATTTGAAAATAAATGTTTTGGGATTTTATGGTTTAGGGGATTGGCTTTGGTTTTAAAAGGAAAAAAATATAATGAAAATTTTCTTTTTAAAATTGGGTCGTTACAGAACCGGTCAAAATAAACCGGTTAAACCGAATAAAACTACATGGAAAAGAATCATTTGCATAATAAACTTTTGTGATTTTTTTCAAATCTATTTAGTTTTTTCTAAATAAAAACATATGGTAAATGTTATAAAGTTTTTTGATGTGTTTGTATTAATTTAAAACTATGTTTTGTTTCGGCATTATATTTTATTTTCTTTTTGACGTATATATTTTGATGTAAAACACTAAAAGTTATGGTTATGTGTTATTTTAAAGTATTTGGATTGATCCACAACTTATTTTTATATATATTTTTAATGTTTGAACTTGTAAACATCAAATTCATGATTTATATATGTATGTATGTATAGAAAAATAGGAAAAAATATGAAAATTATAGATACCGGTTAACCCGGCGGTCGAACCGGTTAAACCGGGAACCGGTCACCATACCGGTTCAACTAAAAAACCGGTTTTTAAAACATTGATCACCATCACCATCAAATATCAAACACCACTGCTACCATCACTGAAATCCACAGTCGCCACCATATTTACATTGAAATCGTCCACCACCAACTTCCCTTTTTACCCATATCTAAACTCAGTGCCCAGATTGATGCAGTGGGTGCTCACACCCAAATATCATACCCAGAATATAAATTGAGAAATCACAGAGAAAATCAAGCCCCTAGCAATACAAATGCACAAACTGAAACACGAGTGTACGAAACTGAAACACGAGTGCACGAAACTGAAGTTAAACCTAAATGGAACCTAAACCAAAATTTGCATCTTTTTTGCTCTAATTCACATTTTAGAGAGTAGAGAGGTGAAGGGGATGATGGTGATGAACAATTAGGGGCGACGGTGGGAGTTGGGTTTCAGGGCGGTGGTTTGGGGGAAATACGGGGGTGGGGGTATGGGGAAGAAAGGTGTTCGATTCATTGAGGTTTGATTCAGAATAGAAGAAGAAGAAGGTTGGAGAGAAGGAGGTTTAGGGAAGAAAGGGATGGTGGGTAGGCAGTGTAACCGGGGTAACTAGTAAATGGCGATTTTGACACAATTAGTCCCAATACTAGGCATTACCACACCCAAATTCGCTACAGGGACAAAACCGCACAATTTTGAAAAAACTTAGGGACTTTTATGTCAATAACCCCACTTTAAATTATTTTTTAATATACTTACAAGAAACTGGAGTTTGAAGGTTCTTATTAGATGGAATTTTGGGTTCAAATTTGGTTTTTGGTTATTTTTGAACACACAAAGGTAAATAAGATATGTTTTCAAATAGAGAATACGAAGCTCATTACAATATTGATCGTAAGAACTTGACATAAGGTATCCTCTCTATCTAACTAATATCCATGTATATAAATTCACACCTAGGGAGTCGGTTAGAGACTGGCCAATTAAAACAAGACACCTAGACATGTAAAACCGCAAAACCTATGTTACATCAATTATGAAACAAACAATACTTTCGCAATATACACAAAAGACTTATGATATACAATTACAAAACCTTCTGCACCATGACTCAACCACAACACCTATAAACTGCAAGACCTAACAACCTCCCCCTTCTGTTGAGTGGCGAAAGTAAGTTTTCACTTTAGTTCTTCAAAAACCCGAGGAACATACGCAAGCACCATCATCCGAACAGTTATCCTCCATCTTAACATGTCGGAAACACACTTGATATCATTATTTGTATTCACATTGCAAAGTTCAACCTTCGCAAGAATCCCATTCAGTTTCGTGGTCTTGTAGCAGCGTTTATCTTGAAGATACATCATTTGATTCTTCAACACACGAAAGTAAATAATATTTCAAATAGAGAATACGGAGCTCGTAACAATATTGATCATAAGAACTTGACAAAATGTATCCTCTCTATCTAACTAACATCCCTTTATATAAGTTCACACCTAAGGAGTCGGTTAGAGACTGACCAATTAAAACAAGACACCTAGACAGTGACAACTGTAAACTAATAAGCTCACTTACCGCGAAACCTAGGTTACATAAATTACGAAACAAACAATACTTTCACAATATACACAAAAGACTTATGATATACAATTACGAAACCTTTCGCACTATGACTCAACCACAACACCTGTAAACTGCAAGACCTAACAATCTCTCCCTTTGTGTTGAGTGGCGAAAGTAAGTTTTCACTTTAGTTCTTCAAAAACCTGAGGAACATTCATCCCCATTAACGACAACCGTAAATGGGGCTTAGCATTAACCAGATTGATTATTTCCCACATAAATTTATAATATAAACGTTTGCTCCACCAAATATGAACACACATCCTTCTCGAACCTATGACAAAGTTTTATTACTTCTAGAATCATGAAAATGCTTGAAATTTACATCATAAACACTACTCAACAGATGATTATACTTCATGCAAAAAACAAATGATTATTCACAAAGAAATTAAACACTTCCCATCTATATGGCGACTCTCCTCTAATCTCATTTGATCATGTACCATCACCATTGTTATCGACTTCACCTCCATTTTTTTCTCTCTTCATCATCGTCTTCTCCATTTAATGCTTCACCATCAGACTGAATAAACTGCAACTTCAATCTTCCATCTTCTCGACATGCATGCAAGAGTTCTTGAGTCGGGATCATTACTTCCTTAAGAATAAACCTTCCATTGCTACGGAAAGATTCAAGGTACACCCATGGCTTCCCACTGATTCCAATAGAAGAAATTGGTGGAGGGAATTCCATTCCTTTTATCCTCGACCTCTTAGACTGATCACCTGGTAATATCTCTGATACTGCATGCTTTGTCGTTCTTTCCTCCTGTTGTTTACCTTGATGATCAATATGAACATCTTGTTTTTCTTTCATATCTTCCACCACGTCATCAAAGCTTTCAAAACCAAGGCCTTCGGTGCACATGGATAAGCTTTCTGAATTCATGCCAACACTCGTGCATTGATAATGGTTGGTGGATGGAAGTAAATCGTTTTTCTCATTGAAATGAAGCTCACTGAACATATCGTCAATGGCTTTATTGGGATTGATGCGTTTCCATGAATCATCAATGGAAGCTTTTGGGGTCTCTAATGGCGATGGCTTATCAAAGATATGCCGAAGGCTTCCACAGGCAGCCATATTTTCAGGTACTGTTTTTTTTTATTATCCTTTTAGAGATGATGATTGTGTGATGAACAACACAAATACACAAAACAAGTGGGAACACAGATAAAGCCTCCTAGATACAAGGTTAACATGATGAGGGGTGGGGTGGGGTGGGTAGGGTGGGTAGGCGTAGTTGATTAGGTCAAGGTCCACAAGGTGAGGAGGGAAAGGGGTGCTATCAAATAGGTGATCATGTGTTTGACAGTTGAAGAAACAATTAAGGGATGAGTGGTCAATTGATATGGTGATGTGGATATATATTAGTGGTCAAGATTTCTTTGAAATTCATCCTTCTAATATACTTTATTATTATTTCAATCTTACCAAAGTCAATATATTGTTCACCACGTGAATGTCTTGATTCTTGACAAAAGTAACAAAAAGAAGGCTTAAATAACAATAAATAACGATGTACTTTATTGATTTTAGCATCCCATTTTTATTTCTATAAATAGATATCGCTATAAATAGACAATTTTTTCAAAATACAATGTTATAAGTTGTAACCAAGTCGAAAATTTCTTTGTATTTATATCAATGTTATTAAATACAAAGCAATTTTAAGTAGTCTTATTTTATTTTGATGTTTTTCCAAATCTAATGTTCTAATGAGGAAAAATAAAATGGAATTGCATAATAAATTAGGTAGATTTTTCAAAATTGTAATATCATAACAAAGAAAAAAGGTTAATAAGTACAATGATATAATTCACATAAGATTTTTCAAATTATAATCCCTTGAAAAAAGTCAAAAGTATAACATTGTAACAGAAATAATCGAAACTAAGATATCATAACACAGAAATAAATGAAATTAGATTATTGTTTCTTGCATTTAACCCTAAAAACATATTCTATGATAAATTTACAATATGTTATATAATAACACAACGTATAAATTGACAAAAAATATAAGAGAACTAGTTCAAATTCAAAAAAAAAAAAAAAAAAAAAAAAAAAAAAAAAAAAAAAAATGATTGAATTTAAATTGATAAAAAAAGAAATTCCACAAACAAGTTCATACAAACCCTTCACAAACCCTAAAACACAATCACTACTACTTACTACTTACACCCACCATCCTCCTCCTCCAACCACCACCACTCTCCGATCACCGCCACGTCTCAATCCTCTCCATCAGCGCGGTTATCGAGCTCAGATTCACAATCCCCTTGGTCTTCTCCACCACCACCACCACCGGAGTTTCACAAAACCCAGTTCCATAAGATTCTTCAGTGGAGGTTGAGCAGCTGAGATGATCATCATCCGTTACATTATCCAACAAAACAGACTCAGAGCCACTAGAATCCACCTCCTTTTCTCCCTCTTCACTGTGGCGGAGACATGGCGGCCCGTGGTGGTGGTGGTCGTTCTCATCTGGCGGCCTTTGTGGCGGACTTGCAGAGGGTTCCACTTCCACAAGTGAATCTTGTCTTTGACGGAGGGTTTTTGTGACGAGGGTTTTTAAAAACTTCATTACTTGGACTGCATACATCAAAGCTGTCAGTGGATCTGCCATCTGTCACAAAATCAAAACCAGGGTTAATATCGTAAAAACCTTAATATATATATTTTTTTTTTTTTATTTCGATTTAAATCTTGAACTTGAATTTTTTTCCTGAACAAACACCTTGTAGATTTAAAAAAAAAAAAAACTTACATTTTGTGTTTTTTCTGAATTAAACCTCAACTTTATTTTTTTTTCTTGAAAATAACCTTGTATTTTTTCATTTTTTCCAAAAAAAAAAAAAACCCTCAACTTTGTCTTTTTTTCCAGAAAAACCCTCAGCCTTCTAACTGTTTCCGAAAAAACCCTCAACTTTTTTAATATTTTCAGAAAAAACCCTCACATTTTACAAGTTTTTAGAAAAAAATGACTAAAAGATCCTGATCAAAAAAAAAGAAAAATGCAAGGTCTTTTCAGTAAAAAAAGAAAGTTGAGGTTAATCCTGAAAAAGACCTTGCATTTTTCAACTTGACCCTTTTAGTAGTTCTTATCATAATAAAGAGTTGATATCATACAAGACCTCATATATTGATTTTTTTTTTTTTTTTTTTTCTGGATTAAACCTCAACTTTACTTTTTTCATGAAAACGAAATTGTATTTTTTCATTTTTTCCGGAAAAAACCCTCAATCTTTTACTTTTTTCCGAAAATACCCTCAACCTTTTAATTGTTTCCGAAAAAAACCCTCATGTTTGACAAGTTTTTTCCGAAATAAATTGCTAAAAGGGTCAAATTGGGAAAAATGGGAAAATGCAAGGTCTTTTTCAAAAAAAAAAAGAATAGAGTTGAGGTTTAATCCGAAAAAAATACAATATATAAGATCTGTTACGATATTAACCCCATAAAAAAAACTTGTTAAACATAAGTGTTTTTTCCGAACAAAAAAAGTTTGAGGGTTTTTTTTTTCGGAAAGAAATATAAAACGATGAGGTTTATTCCAGGAAAAAAAAACAATATATAAAACAAATGTAAAGTCAAACATTTTCATGAAATTAAGTCAAAGTCAACGATTTTGAATATATTTTTTTTAATTTACGAATGGAATATAATAATAATAATAATAATAATAATAATATATACCTGTGTCATGTTGGGTGCAAAAACCATGGCGATGTTGTGAGCATTCATTTTATTGAAATGTTGTTGTTGGACAACATCAGCCATGAGATTAACTGCCCAATCAAGTAGGGCAGCTTCGGTCAGGGGTAGAAGCCTGACCAGGGCACCACAATCTTCCTCTGACTCACACTGCATTACCCGCTCAGCTGAAAGTGGGTCCAACACTCCCCTCGGTAGCTCTCTAAACCATGCCTGAAAATCAAAACCACATAAAAAAAAATGTAGTAATCAAAGAGGGAATGGAATGGAATCGAGGATTACGGAATAGAAATGGAATATGTGATTCCATTCCATCATACCAAACAAACACTTCAATCCATATATCATATACCTTAATAAGACCTGCCAAACAATGCACATCAATACCATTTGGAACCACTCCACTATTCAATTGATTCCTCAAATGTTCTTCTTGACTATTCTCTGCATTGATTCTAAAAACACCTTCAGCCTGAAAATATAGCATAGAAAAAGTGTTTGAATAAGTTTATATGATACCAAATTGCAATCAGTTGATAGTTTGTTTTCAGTGTTTAACAATTTCTGATTATAATGTCAAATGACAAAAAAGGGACAAGGGTAAATGTGTAAATTTGGCATGATGAAACAAGAAAAAAGAGGAAAAAGAAAGAAACAAGACCTAACTACCTAAGCTTCTTAGCTATTTTGATTTTCATAGGTAATGTTTATTATTTTGTGATATCTAAAATTATAAAAAAAAAAAAAAAAACATAAAATTTTGGCATACCTGTAAGCCACCCTGACTATACAAGCGATGCTGCATGAGCAAGAGGATTGTTGGGATACTGTTACCTCTGAAGTCGTGTGATAACTGCATTGATTCAGTGGAAACACCAAACACTGTAGCACTATAAATAAAGAAGAAGAAAAAAACAGTTGTCAAAATGTGATTGGAGAACTCAAAATGGTTTTTGAATAGGGCTATAGATTTGGTCATGTGATAAAAGTCTATTTTCTTGATTAGAGGCACATATGGAAAAAAGATGCAAGAATTAATGAAACTTTGCATATAATGGTTATTAGGTTTGATATAAGATTCTCTTTAATTCGGCTGTTTTAAATGAATTACAACTATGAACAACAAGAACACTATTATCTCTAAATTGATACCTATTAAGAAAATGGCGAAGAATTAACACGTGCTAATGACTTCAACAAACAAGAATAATCAAGTAAAAACATTAAAAGACCTGAATTTCAAGATTGTAAATTTGAAATGTACCTTGCACTAGGGGCTCTTCTGGGAACTTCAGGTTCAAACTCAACAGGAAGGCCCAAGAACCCATTGAAGCGATCGAACGTAACATGCGCTACATGGCGCACATTAGTGGGCCATCCAATCTCCATAGCAGAAAGATCTTGCTTCTCTTCTGTAGCTGTGGTCTTGCAAGAAGCAGCAACCCAGAAAGATTTCCTGAATAGGGTAAACAAAAGTGCCAATAACGACAGCTGTTGATTATCCCTTTCTCTTCGAACATTCAATTCATCGTCTTCGTCGTCATCTTCTTGGCAATCGGTAACCCTAGAAACCCTTTCTACTGATTCTTCCGATTCTTGATTTACACATTGAAACAATGCAGTGTCATGGTGGGTTTGCAAAGAAGAAGAAGATGAAGATGGAGAATGGAGGACCTCTGTCATGGCTGTAGAAAACAAGAAGGTGGGTTTTGTCTGTTTGGATTTGTAGAGATTTTTGAGTAAAATAATATTGGTTGAGATTTGGCCTTTGGTGGTGGGATTAACGAAATGATTGGAGGGCAGATTTTGATTTGGGGGAAATGGAAAATTGGGAGGGAATTGTGGATTGATTAATAGAACGTGAGCATCATGAAGTGGGAGATTTTTTTATGCTTTTTGGATGGAGCGTCTAAACTCCATAGAGAAATGGGGAAGTTTTTTCCTTTTTTTTTTTAATCAAAATATTATATTTTAAATTTCTCCATTATATTTTGATTTACATATCCCAATCTCATTTGATATTTCAAAAGTTTGGTTTGATTATAAATTATTTGCATCATTGTCATTTTATTGAATTGGAACTTAGATCATCTTCAATTTATTGTTATTATTTCTTATTCATCATTTCAAATCACTAGAACATATAGTTTTTATTGATCATTCAATAAAAATATATAAAAATATATATTGAATATCAATATATTTTTATGCTTAGTAGATCTTATGTTATTCTTTAATTATATTGTATTTTACCTTTTTAATTTAATTTTAATTTTAAATACTTATTATTTTTTAATAACTAATTATTTCTATTAAATATTTAGTGACAATTTATTTTTGAAATATAAATTTTATATTGGTTATATAACATTTACAATTCTTTTTTATTTTTATAACTATGACCTAATAATTTTTTTCGTATTTTATGTATATGAAATAAAAATTCGACATAGTTGTATGTATATTTTTGTTTGTTTGTAACATTTTAGATATAATGTATGTTTACAAAAAGACTAAGTAAACAAAGGGTTTTTATAAAACATTTTAGATTAATAAGAATAGATTAGTTAAGTTTAAAAAAAGATATTAGAAGAGTTTAACAACCGGAGAGGTTATTTAATTATATGTTAAAATTAGTGGAATGATGAGTTGATAATTTTTTTAAGTTTAAAATAGCTTAACCATAAGGGTGGGGCCGGTTTGGTAAGACTTAGGAAAATGTGTAGATAATCCATTGGCCCCGTCACCTACATTCTTGTAGTCATGGAGGTTTGTCTGCAGTGACTCCAGGGCATGAGACATAGCTTCATGTTCACACGATGGATTAGTCGAGGTGTGCGAAAGTTGGCTCGAACACCCTCGTTAGGGGAGAATCTTCTTTCCAAAAAAAAAAGTTTAACATAGCTTAATCATTAGAGATGCTTGAGAATGTTTGGGATTGAGTTTCAAAAATACTTATTGACTTATTAGTTTTTCAAAAAAAACTAATAAACCTAAAATAGTGTTTGGTGAGTTAAAAAAAACACTTTTCAAAAGTGTTTTTTTGCTATCTTTCAAAAAGTCATTTTGAAAGTTAGAAATTATGACTTTTCATCACTTATTCAGCTAACATAACTATAAAAATGACTCTAAGTTAATCCAAACATTTTTGTAAAATAACTTATCAACTTATAGATTATTGACACCACATAAACTAATTCAAACACTCTTTTTTGACATACGATAATCTAATAAGCATATTTATTAAAAAGTTCTTATTGATAAGCAATCCCAAACACCCCTTTTGGTGGTGATTTTTGTTATTGAATCTTTTGTTCGGTTTTAAAGTTATTGATACCAATAAAGTTTTTTTTTATAAAAATATTGCAAATAAGTTGAGACGAGTCTGAACTTCGTTTAACCTTTTTAGTCTAAGCTTAAACACAAGTCAACAAATCAATTAAACTTAATGATTCATGCTCGAGCTTATCTCGAAGAAGATTAAAATTTGATTTAAAAAGTTGGAAAGTATTCTTTAGAAACTATTAGATGGTATTTGTATTAAATTAGGTTCCTCATATCATTAACAATAGTTCGACAATGTTTTCAAATATAATTGTAAGGACTGATTTATATATAAGATATCAAATTAATGAAAATGATATCAAATTGAGTTCTAACCGTTATCATGGTACCAGATGTAACACCCATAAAATTCATGAAAAATTTAAACTTTTTAAACAACCCAAAAACCATCATTGTTTACATCTTGTCTTCAAAATAAGTTCAATATCAGAGAAATCTCAAAATCATAAGGTAAAACATGAGGAGGTGCACGGTCACACCTTCGCCTTCCCGCGATCCTCTGAGGTACCTGAAACATAATCCAAAACTGCAAGCACAAAGCTTAGTGAGCTCCCCCAAAATATCAATACATAACATATAGCACAAATACAAAACAACATACTATGGGCCCAATCAACCATCGGGTAGGAATACCCCAGGCCCCTCAACCACCGGGTTGGAATGCCAACACACTATGGGTCCAATCAACCATTGGGTTGGAATACCCTAGGCCCCTCAATCATCGGGTTGGAATGGCAACATACTATGGGTCCAATCATCATCGGGACGGAATACCCTAAGCCCTCAACCATTGGGTTGGAATCCCCCCCCCCCCCCCCCCCCCGACCTGTTGGCTTACGCACAAAGCAGTGAAGCCTCAGCCACCAACCAATCATGTGCACATGATACAGATAAACATACTATTAACCAGCCAACAAACAAACAGACAGATCTAACAGATCACTAAGCATGGCAACATATTAAATACCAGGATACCGATCTAATCAAATCACTACAACACTAGAGCATACATAACAGGATATCAAAATCCGAGGGGTCGGCCTTGGTGCCTTCGACCCGTAAGTACAGTGAAAAAACTCACATCACAATGTCAAACCATACAGAAAACCTTCGTCTGCTGGCTTACGAAAATCCCGAACTATTACAACAAAACAAACATCCAATTAACAATTAGATTACCATTCGTGACTAAGGATCCATACTTAGGGTAGATGTCCACTTTACCTTTTCCCCAATTGGGCCAAGGCTCAAGTCCTCATTTTTTATCCAAAAAGGCCCAAATTACTTCATAACCCATAATTGGCCCAATTTTCCAAATCGGGCCCAACCCCTTATTGGGCCTTATCCTAAGGTCCAACTCTCCAACTGGCCCAAAACACTCATACTCAGAAAGTCCAATGAGGGCCCAAACCATACAAGCCCAAAAGGTGGCCCAAAACTCGAAGCCCAAAAATCAAAAGCCCACAGACGACATACGTTGGGCGTACACCGGAGGTACACAGGGCGTACACGAGCCTCGCATTGACCACGATCGGGGTGGCTGACCGAGTACATGGGGCATACTCCTCCCTACGCGGTGCATACCCTCGCAAATCCAAAAGTCCATTAAGTGCTTAATGGCTTAAGCACTTAAGCCCATATTACAGATCCAATGTAAAATGCACCCTAGAGTCATAAAGTCTCCAACTTTATGAATTTACATGTCCATAAGTTCTTAAACAAGGTCTTAATCCATTAAGACCCTTTTTCCAAATGCATGAGAAACTTCTGGCCATTGGGACCTCATTTTTATGACTAAGGACCCTTCCTAGAGTCTAGAAGGACAACCTAAAACGTCCAAAATCAAACATGCACAATAATGGGACTTTTAGGGACAAAAGAACATCATAAAGCTACCAAGATGAGATATAAGCAAACCAAACACAAAGGTAGCAACTTTTTACCTTCTGGAGCTTCCGAATGAGATGATGATCCAAGATCTACAAGCTTGCTTTCCTTTTTTGACTCCTTGTTGCACTTCCTTCTCCTTTAAGCACACAAATAACACACTTTATGCTCAAAACACTCACTTATGGGGTTAGGGTTTGCTGAGAACGGCTCAAGGACTTGGAGGCTGAAAGAGTGAAGCAAAATGATCCATAAAGGTGCTTAAATACACCTCAAACCCTAAAATTTAGGGTTTCACCCTGACATTAGTATGCCCAGCGTACTAGGGCGCGCCCTTAGTACGCTCAATGTACTCACATGTACGCCCAACATACTACTCATGCTCCCAAAATTACCATTTTGCCACTAGGGCTTCGTAGGGATACATCTTTATATTCCAAGGACCCAAAATGACATATTTAAAAACCAAAGGAAGGATTTGAAAATACCTGAAACCCGGGATGTTACAACTCTCCCCCACTTGATCTAGACTTTGTCCTCGAAGTCTACTGCAACAAACAAATCTGGGTAAATCTCCCGCATCTCTGCCTTCAGCTCCTAGGTCCACTCGGAGCCCCTCTGATGCTCCCATTGTACCTTTACCAAAGGTTCTTCCTTGCTTTGCAACACCTTTACTTTCCTCTCCAGGATAGCTACTGGTCTCTCAACATTGTTCAGGCACTCATCAACATGAATGTCATCCAATGACACAACTGCATCCTCGTCCAATACGCACTTTCGCAGCTGCGAAACATGGAATGTGTTATGAATCTGACTGAGCTCCTCAGGAAGATCCAATCTGTAAGCGACCTTGACAACCCTGTCAATAACCCGGAATGACCTAATATATCGGGGACCCAAATTCCCCCTCTTCCTGAAGCGAATAACACCTTTCCAAGGTGAGACCTTCAGCAACACCATGTCGCCGACCTGAAACTCCAACTCGGATCAGCGTCGGTCGGCATAACTCTTCTGCCGACTCTGAGCAGTCTGCAATCTCTTCCCGATCTGCTGAATCATCTCTGTAGTCTGAAGAACCACCTCGTTCTACCCCATAACTATGTGACCAACCTCCCCCCAACAAACTGGGGTACGACATCTCCGCCCATTCAAAAGCTCAAAAGGCAGAGCACCAATGCTGGAGTGAAAACTGTTATTGTAAGAGAACTCTGCAAGAGGCAGGTAGGAGTCCTAGCTCCCACCAAAATCAATGACACAGGCTCGCAACATATCCTCAAGAGTCTGTATCGTCAGTTCATTATGGCCGTCGGTCTGCAGATGATAAGTTGTGCTGAAATGTAGCCTAGTGCCCAGTTCCTCATGGAACTTTTTCCAAAAATGGGAGGTGAACCGCACATCACGGTCTGAAACAATGGAGACCGAAACCCCATAGCGAGCAACGATCTCGTGAATATACACATCGGCCAACTTCTCGGCCGACGAACTCTCCCGAATCGCCAGGAAATGGGCACTCTTGGTCAATCGATTCACGATTACCCAAATAGCATCAAAACCCTTTGTCGTCTTTGGCAACTTGGTGATGAAGTCCATCGAAATATGATCCTATTTCCACATGGGAACCTCCAGAGTCTGCAGCTTGCCATGCGGCCCTGATGC